CCGTCGGGAGCCCGTGGCAAAGGCTGACCGATTTCACAGGTGGGTGCCACCAACAATGGCACATTTCACGCACCATCCCGGATTAATAAAAAAGGGGGGGATATTAAAATGCTAATACTCATTAATGCTGCTTTCCAGTGTTTAACTTGCAATGTGGAAGATAAACGTGAACGACAGCCGGTAAATGGGGCTGACACTGGTTAGAAACATCTCAAGCAAGCGAGAAATAGCGCAAGGAAATCAAAGCTGTGGGCGCCTCCATGCTTGCTGCGGGTCAAGCCAAACAGCACCGTCTTAGCATCTCGACTCGATGCGTTTGTGAGGCAGTAATGCACTGAACAGCGTGTTTGAATAGTCAAGAGGGTTTGCAAGGTTTTGAATGGTGCTAACGGGCATTGTGTGGCTCTGGATGCCTCTTCCAGGTGGCACCGGAAACCAAGGCTCTGCTCCACTGCATTTAACAAACTCTTCTTAAACACAGTGGTGAGCAGGAATCCATTTCCATCTAGGTGATTGCTTTCTGCTTCTTTAAATCCACCAGCTGCTTCAGTTGGCTCCTTTGTTCCTTCCTTCCTGAGGTCTCAGCTGCCAGGGCCCATCCCGAAGGTGGCGGCGCTCTGGCGCTGAGTTGAAGCTGTTCATCTCAGATGCGTGTGCATGTGAGCGTATACAATGCAAAATCGTGGTACCCAAACAACTTAATTCTGCCCAGCCGCAGACTCTGAGTCAAACCGCAGGGGAAAGTTGTGCACAGTTCATATCTGCATAATGTTGCTGGAGAGTAATTGCTGCTCCATCCCACCATTCCCCAGAGGCCACAATGCCTCTTTTTGTAGAAACCTGAACTCTGCCCTGCACTGGCACCCTGCGAAAGACGCCCACTGACGATTCAGGCTTTCTTGTGGGTGGGGAGGCCACGCTCAGTGACTTTAGAGGCCCATTCAGGTTTTTTTCTTTGCTCGCGGTGTCACTGTAGGGCAGAAGTGCAGTTGTTTTGATGCCTTTAAATATGCATGTCCATCATGGAGCACATCTGGATGTGTGTAAGTGAAGGCGAAGCTGTGGATTTCCTGTATTTATAACACCTTGGTTGTGGGATAATTACCAAGCCCTGCAGTGGAGCGTCCTTGACCTGTCTCTCAACCCATGCTCCAGCCCAGCTCATGTCTTATAAGAAGTTTGCACTTGGCCTGTTCCAAATCCCACGTGCCTTTTGGATCGTGCTCTGCCCCGTGCATCCCACTCAGCTTCGCTCTTCCTTGTGTCTGTCCCCCGCTTCCCTACATTTCCTCCTCCGTGTCACCCTCTGCCATCGCTTAAGCTGCCGGTGGAGCAGATCTCCTGCTTTGGCAAAGCCCAGTAGGATTAAGAGTCATTTTGCTGCTGTTTTTTGTACCTGAACATTTATCAGACTCGACCTCTTTGGAAATGCACCCCCTTTCTCATAGTTTTTGGTGGGACTGGAGCCACCCAGGTATTCGAATATTTATTTTGCTCCCTCTCTGCACTCGATAGAGTCACAGATCTGGAAATCTTTGCAGTTGCATTAAGACCATGATGAAAGCCAGAGAGTAGAAACACTCACAAAATACAGTCCTAGGAAACAGAAGGTGGGGACTTCACTTAGCATTTGGGAGCAGCCGTCAGGTACTCCTTAGAAGCAGGTAGGTCGTTCATCCTGGTTTTCTTTTCGGCATCAGAGCACGGTTGTGCAGACTTGGCTTTTGGCTGGGTTTTTGTTTTCAGGCATTGCTCTTCACTTCTTCAGCCTAGAGGTACTCGTGTCTTATTCCAGCTTTCCTTCTCAGTGCTTGATTTGGCAAGATCGAGAGCCCGGGAGCTGTAGTGACGGGCCTGGTTTAAGAACCTGGCTGGAATAGGAAACTCTTTTCCCCAAGTTTTGCAAGTTTGCCCTTTCTTTTCCTGCCCTTTGCATCAGTGCTTGTAGCTCTTCCATGAGACTTTGCTGTAAGAACATTTTGAATAGACTATGTGGAAACCTTTTCCTTTCTGTTCCCTGGATGGCGGGGCAGGCCAGCCCACTCCTTCCCAGACTTCTGCTCATTTTTTCCTCCTGGAGAAGGTTATTCAAACTTAATCCTTCTGTCTTCCTTCTTCCTCTCGGCTCCAGCCAGATGTTTGTTTGCCACTCTCGTCATCAGCCTCTCAAATAACATTCTCACGCCGTCACTTTGAATAGGCACATTTGCAAAACCTGTCAAGGGAAATTCCCCAATCTTTATCACTGAACGCCTCACTGCTAATATTTTAACACCTCCCCAAAGCAAATTCCCTGTAACAGTGGTGTATAAATCCTACTTAAGCTGCCAGCAAAGATAGACATCCACCCTGGTTTCTTTTCCAAGAGGGGGTGGGTGACATTTTATAGATGACCCTGAGAGTTTCCCCCACCTTTTGACTGAGGAATGTGGAGAGCCACTCGAGAGTTGTGGGAAGCCTGGAAGAGTTGGCCAGGAAGGAGTAAGACATCGCAAACCAGGCACAGTTTTGTCTTTCCCCATTTCCCCCTCTTTCATTTCCTACTCCGTTGTGTTGTTCTCTACATCAGGCTGGTTAAGACACTGCCAAATACTTGGATATTTTATAGGTAACGGATCCCGTAAATGCCATGGGCGGCCTCCGAGGGAAACACGTGATTGTCGGTTTTGGACAGCGTGTAAAACCTAAGCAGGAAATGGTGGCTGAATGGCACAGCTGCAGGCAAACATTTTAAGCTAGTAAACTGCCCGTGTGCACACCCACACGTATGTCCGAGTGCAGCCAGCAGAGCCGGGGCACAGGGAGCCTGTAAACGGTTAGCGGTGAGAGATTTTGTGATTAAAGAACCAAGAGTTTTCCTTCTGTCGTTCCTGAAATACGGCTTCCTCCACATGACATGTCATTATGTGATTTTGGAGATTAAGGACAGATTGCAAATGAAAGCATATGGGCTCTAAAAAAAAGAGCGATAAAGATCAAAGGGTTCGATCAGGGATGGTCAGACCGTGTGCGCTATCAAAAGATGACAGGGCAGGCTGTCATAAGCTCTGCTTTCCAGCCACTCTTGTCAGACGACCAGGGAAGTATCACGTTTGGTTTCCATGAAAGATTGGAGCTCAAATCTGAATGTTCCCTACTTTTGAGATGAAGATTATTTGGTCCTTGGGTCCTTTCTGGCTTCCCACATCTCAAATGAGACAAGCGCAGGATTATTCTGTGTTGTGTTTCGGGTTTTCTGCTGCTGCCCTTGAGATTCCTCTCTGCTGTCTCCTAGGTGGCCCTGTCCAAACAGAATATGTTCCTGACATTCGTCCTACCAATTGCCTCCTTTAGTTTAATCCAGAGCTGACTTCGGATTTTACGCCATGCACTACTCAAAGCAAGTCCTCTCTTTGCTCGGTATCTGCATCCCTGTGTTGCTTATTGATTTCCGCAGCTGTCATCTCTGAACCAAGCTGCATGTGTTGAATTTTGCATTGGTTTCCTAAATGGTTTTCCCAGCCTTGACTTTCATTTTGTTTCAGCCTTGTGAATTAGTTGATGTTTTATTAAAATAACGGAGCAGTAAAACTGTTTAGACGACATTACCTTTCATGCATTTTTATTCTCACTTTTTATTGCAAACTCAAGCAATCTTCCCACATTAAGTATTCAATAAAACATTAGACTTACGAGCTCCTGGTGCAGCAGTTATGGGCATCCGTATTCACGAGAGTGGAGGAGGAGCAGTCTTCATGTGCAATATAAGAACAGAAATGAAAGGAAGGATTATCCAGGGGGTAGTGTACTTGCTAGGGGGTTGGACACAGCATGTGCACACCGGTATAAACAAGAAGGAAAGTGATGCTGAGAGCCCCCCAGACGGCTCTGATTCACATGCATTCAGTGCAGAAGTCGGGGGTAAAACTACAGCAGCCCTGTAGGTATTGTATGTCTGCAGCTATCCTGGCGCAGCCCTTTGCTCCCCTGATATCTCGAGGCTAGTACTCCCACCATAAGAGCTAGCATTAGCAGCTGTCTGTGGCTGCTCTGGCTCTGAAGCAGCTTACGTTGGTGTAAAAAAAACAGTTTAAATTACACCATGTAAGTGGGTCGTGTCTGGACTCTAGGACTTAAGGAGATCACAGATTTCTTGCATGACCTTTGCAAGCCACGTGGCCCCTCTGTGCCTTGGGTCCCCCCATCCGAATAAAGGACAGATAGTCCTCCCTTACTTCACGGTAGCAGAGGAGGGGGGAGGCAAATATGTTAAAAGGCCCTGAGGTGCCATGTGTGTACATAGACCCATTGCCCACGACAGCCTTTACGTTGGCTGTGCGAGTTGGGTTGGGGCCCTTCGAAGAGCCTGCACCTCTCGTTCCAAAACTTGTTAAAATAGGCAGTAACTTTGCAGGGTCAGATCACGAGTGTGCAAATGCTCTTCGGGGCCTCAGGCATGCAGGAGAACAGGACGTCTCTCGGTTTATTGTTCATTCTTTCCATTGAGCGTTTTCACGTATTACTGAACGTTCAGCTCCTGGAGAAGTAGCTCCTCTTGTTTTCCACTGAGAGGGATGCTGCGGTGGATGCTGGATTCCCTGTGTTCCCCACACCTTTTGTGAACTTTTACAGCTACGTCAGATGGGTTTCCAACATTGACAGCGTGGCCCAGTGGTACTTAGCAGTCACGCTGCACATGTTCAGTGGTAAAATTAGACTGCACAGAGTCAGGGTGTAGGAAACTCTGTTGGAAACCAGGGACTCAGCTGTGGAGGCCGGAGGGTTCTTTACTCCAGATCCCTCAAAGAAATCTGTCTCCCTTCTAGACTCTTAACACAATAAGAGAGCACCAGGTTAATGGGTGAGAGCTTGGTATCCCTTGCACTCAAGCAGCTGACATTGATTTGTGGTGAAGCAAAACACCTGCTAAATGTCTGATCTTCTCTTCTGTGACAAAATGAAAGGGACACCAGCTTTCAGCAGCTGCGGGCTTCACTTGTGGGTTTTTCCCCCCCCACCAGGTCAATCACATCTATCCGGAGTGAACTGGTTCCATATCTTGTGAGGAAACAATTCTCCTGTCCCACATCATCACAGCAGGAACAAGACAACAAAGAGCAGGACCAAAAGAGAAGGGAGCCAAAGTCGTTAGGTGAGTGCAAGTATCCTCAGACTTCCTGTGGGTTTGGGCTGTTCCTGTGCCAGTTGTCATAAAATCATAGGAATTGAGGGTGGGAACAGAGCTCAGGAGATCACATCTAGTCCAACCCCCTGCTCCAAGCAGGACCAGCCCCAATTACATCATCCCAGCCAGGGCTATATTGAGCCAGGTCTTAAAAACCTCTAAGGATGGAGACTCCACCACCTCTCTGGGTAACCTGTTCCAGTGCTTCCCCACCCTCCTAGTGAGAGAGTTTCTCCTAGTATCCAACCTCAACTTCCCTTGCTGCAGCGTGAGCCCATTGCTCCTTGTGCTGTCATCTGCCCCCACTGAGAACAGCCCAGCTCCATCCTCTGCAACCACCTGGCTGGAGCCCAGAGGCAGCAGGTACTTTGACCTGTAAAGCAGAAATTTGCAGCTAGTCCTAGAGTAGATGTTTCACACCATCCCTTCAGATGTCCGTCCCCAGCTCAGAAAGCTGCTACGAAGAAGCCAGGTTGTCCCATCCGAGTCTCCCAGTTAGCAAAGCTGATGGATCCCTGTGGCCAAACACACTGTTTTTGCCCGTATTTAAAGCACACCCAGCACACACTGGACTGTGGTAGAGGAGGTTGCCCCAAGTGAACTGCTCGGTGCCCTCAGCTCCAAAGCAAGCTGGGAAATCCTGATCCCTGGGACAGAGGATTTAAAGGCCAGTAAAAAGCTGATCCCAGCTCCCCAGTCTCTGACCAAACAGTCTTTAAATCCTATTGAACCGCATGACTTATGAGTGTGCCTGTAAGAAAGAATGAAGGTCTCATTCAGTAATTGCCCCACATGCACAGAGCCCCCATCCAAGTCAATTCATGCAAAGAGCTTGAAGCTCAGCACGGGGTTGTCTGCATGACTGTTAGCCAGCCCTTTATCTGCCCTATATCCCAGGGCAAGGGCAGGGACAAGCGGGCACACTCCCCATGCTCTTGTTTTTGCAGATGTGAGCTACAGGATTGGGAACAGACTGACATCCAGCCATCCCAGGGTAGAGTACACAGCAGGGAGAACTGATGGCACCTCACCCCTGCCCTAGGATGGAAGTGGACAGATTCGGTCTACACCAGCCCCATTTACATGGGCGGTGATTTCCTCTCTGCTTCATACCAGTGTAATTCTCCACTGGATTGGGCAGAGTCCCCCTGGGTTGTGGTTTTGTATTATTTGTCTGCTCCTTCTTGATACCGATGTAATGCTGATTGCAGCGCTATAAGCATTCCCTCTGTCCTTGTCCTCATGTCTCCTATCTGTAAAATGGGAATAAGCAGTTACCACCAGGTGGCAAAAAATCAAGTAGTGACTACAAAGTGGTGGTGAGTGCCATAGGTGTATCCTCTGCTGGGGGCACTACTAAAGCCCCATCTCTAGTGCCCTGCTGTACAAAGCATCGCTTTGAGCCCCTTCTAAGCATGTGCATCTTCTACAGACATTTACAGTTTCATGAAGGAGGAGGAGAGTTTGCTGAAATTTGCTCTCAGTAAAACCTGCTGGAATGATCACCAAGGAGATCTGAATGAAGCCTTCCACATGGGGAGAGTGCGTTGCTACGTCCATGTCATGAAGGAGGGGCTGTGTTTCCGTGTCAACACTCTTGGGCTGTACATTGAAGCTAACAGACAGGTACAGACAAATGTGAACGCTGTACGTGGGTCGGGGGTTGTCCATAGGCAGGCTCAGCCCTTCTTTGGGAAAGACTGCGAGTATCTTGTAGCCAGCCAAGCATAGGACCCTTTTTTCTCAGTGGAGTGGGACTTGAGGCTAGAAACCAAAAGAAGCAAGATCAATTCATGCTGACTTGCTGTGCACAAAGCACCAAGCCACTCTGCCCCTCTCTTGTATCTGTATTGCAGGGTGGTGAGCCCCACAAGTCTCCTTGCCAGGGGAGGGTGGTGAAGAGGAGGAGGATTTTGGAGGGGAGCCGGCAGCAAGCCTCATCTTTAGGCTGCCCAATGCTCTCCTTTATAAATTAACTACTACTCAAGCAGACATCGGTGTCTGCATGACCCCACTGACAGGGCTTGGTACCACTGTCCTAGCTCTCCTCTGCATGGATGGGGCCTCATAAAATGAAGAGTCCGCAAGAAGAGCTGGAGGGATAGCATTGCATTGTCCCCTGTGGCTTTCACGTTGCTGAGATAGCCAGTGCTGCTTGTGTCTCCTCCCTTTCCCTGCCACATGAGAGGTCTCCACCGGCAGGACTGGACCACTGAACACAGCTCAGGGAGGCTGGAGAGGGCTGTGGGCAGGGGGGAGATGCTGCAGCAGGAGAAATCAGGCCTGGCGAAGGACGAGAGTTAGAGGGGGACTCATAGGAGAGGCTTGTCCTGTGCCCGTGGTGCTCTGGCTGTATGGCTGGGCCCATGAATGCAAGTCCGGGTTGGGAGCAGGGCCCCAGGAGCTCTGTGTTTCCAGCCTGGGGCTGAAGGGAAGAGGAGGGAGGGGCGGTTGTGGCATCTGTGGTGGAGCTCAGACATAATGAGAGGTTTGTTTTGCAGGGGGAGGCCCAAGAGACGAGAGAAGAGCAGGGGCTGGGCAGTGCTGCTGGCAGGGGCAGGGAGGGAGGCACAAGTGGCCAAAGGGTTAAGGGAGAGCTCGCAAGGGAGGGTGCACGTGTCCTTGGCAGCCGCGTCTTCAGCCCAGCCGCCTTGAGCTGAGCCAGTCAGGCTCCATGTGGGTTTGGTTTTTTTAACCTAAATAGTGTGCATGTTGGTCAGTGCTGGAAACGTGTCTGCTCCTGGGTGGTACATGGAGTTCATGCTTTGAGTTTGTGCCGGGGCCTTCCATCTTGGCCGTTCTCCTTGAGTTTGTAACTTCCCCAGAATTATAACATTTTGGAGGAAACTATGCAGATGTAAAACACATAACAGCTTTAACGAGGAGCTGGAGAAAGGAGTTCTTATTCCCAGTCCCTCTGTGTCTCGTTTCTCTCACCAACCCAGGGAAAGACGCACGTTTCACGGGAGCTGCAGCGGTTCACCTCGGCTGGGTTGGTCACCTCCAAAGACTCTGAGTCCTGGTTGTTTTCGTCCTAGCCCGGGTCCTAGTCTCTTGTTTGGTGCTTTGATGCCCAGGCAATGGTGCCTTAAGAAAGCAGGCTCCTGCGGTATTAGCCATACAGGGCAACAGCCCTCGCAGCAAGGGAAGGCTGTACTTGCACCGTCAGCTCCCAGCTGCGTTTCTCGGTCCTGCTGCCTGTGTGTGGGCAGGTGAGTTCGGGAGGGAGTTCAAATAGCTTCCTTGCAAGATGAATTAAATTCAAACATATCTGCAACCTTGCCTTGACCCAGACACTCCCTCGAACTCCTGCCCCTTCTCTAACCTTTCCTTTCAGAGCAAAATGCTGGAAGTAGTCGCCTTCTCTGGTCACCCCTCACACGGCTGAGTCCTAGCCTGCTTTCAGGCCAGGCTCTGCTCTAGCTGTAGCTGACAAACTGTGTTTAATCATGATCGCCGTCTCTTTTCTGCTGGTGAAAGCTGCTTCTCCTTCCTCATTTTCCAGACCTCTGAGCCAAGTGTGACCCTGTGAACTATTCCAGCCTACTTCAGATCCTTTCTTTGGACCGTTTGGTTCCCCAGCTGTGTCAGGGCAATGGCAGCAACCTTGGGGAAAGCTACAGCCATCAGAGTCCTATCACCTGGCCTGGCAACTTGGCATCTTTTCCTCAGGACTGCACCTTATTCTTTCATTTCTTTAAAAAAATTCATGTCCTAAAGGGCATTCGGTGCCCAGAAGCTTGTACAACATCTCTCCCCACTCTGCAGTTGGTTGAATAAACAATATCACCAAAATACTCCCGTGCTTCTTGCATAGACCTTGTGGTAGCAGGCATCCCGCAGGGGCTGAAGAGTTAACAGACGTGGCCGGTGGTGGCAGCTCTGAAAAAGGTGTGAATTTACCCATCCATCTCTGCCATGTTAACTGAAAGACCAATGGCTCAGTGGTGACTGCCTCTCTGCTGACCGCACAAGAGGAGAGGGCTCTTCCAATGATGAATACTTGCAGATCTTAAGACTGGTGTCTTGCTTTTGAGACCACATGGATTTTTCCCCCTTTTATCTGATCCCTGCTCTCTGTGAGCTCTGCTTCAGGAGGTTCATTCATCGGCACTTTGCTCTTTCTGTCTCTCGTCTCCTCTTCATGGAGGACACGCTCGAGATGAGACCTGATTGCGTCTTCGGAGGGACCGTCCTCATGATTCCTCTCTGCCTGCCTCAGCCAAGTGCGCATATGGCCTTTCTGGTTTCCTTCTGCTTGAAAGAGGCACGAGCATCCTACAACACCCCCTCCCACCTGTCCTGTCTCAACATGACATTGGCCTCTCCCTTGCCTCGAATTCTCCTCCTACCCCTTGTCCCCAGCCTGCCTCACGCACGTGCCACCCTGCCATCACTGCACCTGGGCAGCATTGCCTCTGGGCACGTTCCAGGACTGCACCTGGGCTGATTGTACCCGGCCTGGCACTTCCCTTCCAGGGTCTGCGCCCCCCCGCATCCAACTGCAGCAGGTGCAGGGCGCGCCAGCCTGCTCTTTCCAGCTGAACAAGAAGAATGACTGCATTATCCCATCCTTCCACAGTGCTGGCTTCCCATTCATTTCAAGAGCCGGCTCAAAATTGCTCTCCATGGACTTGTTTTCTGGCTAGTTCATGGACCTTGTCTCTCTCTATTACCTTCTTTGCTTTGTCTGCTTATCTAACACCTGCCTTCTCTCTGTCAAGTTCATTTGTGAGCTTTTTCCTCCACGGTGCTCTGCCATCTGGAACAGCCACTTCATCAACTTGAGGTTTTTTTCCCCCCCTCAAGCATCTGAACTATTTCTGCTCCCCGGTCTCTGCTTCATCCAGCGACTCTGCAAGTGAACGCTTCAGTTCAGTCATCCTCATGTGTCAGCGAGCTCTGTTTTGTAATAGATACAGCTGAGGGCCGACTGCCCTGTGTTAGCTCAGCTGAGAGGCAGGGTGGGCGGAACCTGCCTCCATACTTCCATGGAGTGCAGATGGTAACCTACCACACACTTGTTGCAACGTTTAATTGCAGGTGAAAAACTGTGTCTGCTGTCAGCAAGATTATTTACAGTGCGTCTTCAGTTGTGCGGAAAGAAAAGCCGCTGTGGATTTCCCTGAGAACATAAGAGCTGGCATTGCCTAGGGCTGAGTAGGTCTATTTAGCCCAGTGGCCTGTGTCACGCTGCAGCAGAGAGCAGATCCTTAGGGAGAGGGTAAACAGGGCTCATCCAGAATTTCCCCACGCGCACACTCCTCTCGCACTGTGGATTCTGTGCGTTTACCTGTGTAACACATGGATGCAGCTTTATCTTGTTAATTGGAGTGGTGGATTCTCTTTTTCCAGGTTCCCAAGATGTTGCCTCTCCTGTGCCCTGATGAACATCTGGTCCATGCATCTGCTGAAGTCACTAACAAAGTCATGGTGAGTGACCAATCCTCTCCCTTCCCACATTCATGCTGAATGGCGGGGCAGCTCTTATGTGTTATAAACACGGGTGAGGTCTAAGCGAATGCAGAACGAGCTCCTTGTGTTCTCTCCTTTAGCTGAGAACGGTTGATTGTTACCAAGTGGGACAGAGGAGTGCAAAACGCACGTGGCACAACCCAGAGCATTGCATGTCCTCACCCACCCGTTCCCACCTTTCCATCTGTGTTCATTATGTTCATTACAAAACATTTGGGACTTTTAATTAAAGCTCCACCTAAGATGCCCCATCAGCTGTTGCAGGCTTCGTTTCTCCAGGGAGTGGTAAGCTGGTAGGCCAGTGGTACTAGGAGCCAGTTGGCTTTCCCAAGCCCAGCAGGATTCAGCATTCAGTGCTGGCTCTTCGCTGCGGTATCCCAGCCTTCAACCCCCTTTCTCTGGGGCCCGTTGTGTGTGTGTCACCTGCATGGGTGATGATTTCTTACTTTGCACAAGGTGCACCAGCTCTGCTGGTGTAGATAAGGCTATTTACAGTACAAGCAGTGCTGTAATGGGTGAGACCCATGCTCCATCTAGCCCAGGGTCCTGTCTGTAACAGTGGCAGGAGTGGATGCTATAAAGGGAGAGCAGCGAGCCAAGAATACCTAGAGTGATCTATTCTCTGTTCATTACCCTATTACTGGCACCTACCATTTTTGGTTTCAAGATGCCGGAGTTTATATCTGACTATTCTGCTTAACAGCTGTTAATGAATTTTTTGTCCATGAATTTGCCTAGTCCCCTTTTGAACCTGGCTCTGCTCTCTGCCTCTACAAACTCCCGTGGCAATGAGTTCCACAAGTTACCTACGTGCTGCTTAAAAAAGGACATCTTCTTGTTAGTTTTAAACCCTCCTCCTGCTAATTTCAGCAGGTGCCCCCTCATTCTTACCTTCTAGGACTTGGTGGAGAACAGTTCCCTGCTCTCTTTGTCCACACCCTGCACCTAAGTGCTTGCCTTTGTGTTTGAGAATGATGTGGTTGGACCCAAGGACTGGAACCTAGCTGAGGAGGGGGATCTTGGGGGACCCGGCCAGTTCTCTATTCAGGGAACGGTAACAAGGCTTTGAAGTCTGGGCCCGAAGGCTGTTGAACCAGGTAGCTCCATGTCCCTGACTCCTGGGTATCCCTGGCTCTAAGATGTTCCCTGTGGCATGTAGGCAATCAGGGTCTTGCTGCTTGAGTGTCCCAGGAGGAGTGTTTGATCCTTCTTCCCCGCTCGGTTTCCATCCATATCTAACGTGTGTTTGCTCCACGGCTGCCTGTTTCAACACCCACATTATTCTTTTAAATCTGCAACCTACAGATCATAGCATATGTGTCTTGGGTGTGTTCACCAAGCATCATTTGCATGTAATTGCTTCTTTGAGGCACACTTGACCTCCAAGACTGCATAGAAAGGGTAGGATCCTTTCTGTTCAGGAGCAAGATATTTAACCATCAGAGCGTGATTTCAAGTGTAGCTCTCATTGATGTGCTAAACCTTTTGCATTCTCTCATGGGCTTGCCATAGGTCTTCCACAGAATCACCACATAGCCCTGTGTTCAGAGGTGAGATCTTTGCTCTACTTGTTTTATGCTTTCAAAGTACCCAAAATTCGTAAGCATGCTTTAGACTGAGAAAACATTAAAAGCCTTTGGGCAGTTGAATATTGACATTTTCCAACCTTGAATGTGCAAAGTACTTTGAAGCAGCAACTGTCAAGTAGGCATAATTTTTAAAAGGCCTGACACCAGCATACAATGTGAATTACTCACGGCACGTGGAGATCGGGCTGGCTGCTTGTGTTAGAAGGGTGTAAGAAGAACAGTGGCTGGGCGGTAACTTAGTTTACAGCTGGGGTGGTTTGACCAGTTTTCTGCTCTTCTCTTCTCTAGGTCGGCTTGGACAGCATCATTGGTTCATCTACCCAAGTAGGAGAGGAGACATTCATTAAACGCTCCACTATTGGCAGCTCATGCACCATAAAAGACAAAGTTAAAATCACCAACTGCATCATCATGAACTCTGTCACTATTGAGGAAGGGTAGGTCGCTCTGTATCTTGCTCTCCCAAGCTTGCTTTTTCCCTCCCTGGAAAGGCTCTGGGATGCTGGCTGGGGCAGGCACATGTCTCATCTCCTGTGGAACCTCGGAGTGAAGCAGAAGTAAGTCTTGTATAGCATGGAGGGTAGCTGATGCCAAGGGAGAGATTTAATGGGAGGTTTCAAAATGGGGAGGAGAGCATAACATGTTCATAAACATTGTATTGCGAGTCAAGCAGATGGACCAAGTTGAGGCGTCTGTGCGAGCTCGTACAGCCTCCTTCCACCCTGAACTGCTGATCTGAACAGGCCAGTTCCTGAGTAGATCTAAGAGTTTTGGTATCAATGTCTGCATGCTTTAAAGCAGGGGTGAGCAGTTATTTGGGCAAGAGAGCTACTTAACGAGTTTTAGTGAGCTGCTGAGAGCCGGCATGGGTGCAGAGATGCCAACTGATCCTATCCAGCCACTGCCAGGAGCCTGAGGAGGTTGGGCTCTGTCGCAGCCAGGGCCAGGCCAGGCCGGGCTGTGCAGTGTGCAGACTCCTCCGCCCCGCTGCGTCCATTCCCCCACCTTCTCCCCCTACCCCCAGCTTTCTGTTCTGCACAGTCCCGGCAGCCAGGCCCTCACAGGACAAGGCACAGTGCAGCACACCAAGTAGTCGTCCCACCTGCCCACCAGAATGAGTCGCTGCAGGTAAGTCAGGGGCAGCTGCCCTGGGCAAAGCCCTCTCCCCCATGGCTGGCACAGACTTACCTCCTAGCGGCACCATGGCAGCAGAAGTTTATTGCCCCGACGGATGGGCGGCTACTCAGCGCACTGCATCGCACCCTGTTCCTTGCGGACCTGGCTGCCAGCAGCCAGGATGCCAGGACTTCACAGCCACAGTGACAACAGGAAGGCAGGAGGGTGGCAAAGGAGTCTGTGCACTGCCCAGCTCGGCCCTAGCTGCAGCAGAGCGAAGCAGCATGGGGTGTAGCCCTCCCTTCTCAAACTCACAGCCTCCATTGACGGGCCAGATAGGATCAATTGGCAGGCCGGATATGGCCCGCAAGCCATATTTTGCCCACCCCTACTTTAAAGTTACCCATTTAAAACATTTCACATTGCCCATTGCCTTTGAACGCTGAGAGTTTTCATGAAAAGCCTTGTTCTCTGAGGCTTTTTCAATATCTGTTGGACTCTACTTCAGCAGTACAGTGGCTGAAAAACAGAGCAAATGAGTTAGCTTGCCCCAGCAAAGATCCTTTATCCATTTGAGGGTCGGTGCGCGTGCGTGCGTGTGTGTGTGTGGAGCTAAAGAAAAGGCAGCCACAAAACCCATCACAGTGTTACTTAAAGTTCAAACATGAGACCTCTTGCCTAGGGGACAAGGCAAAGAAAAGCTTGTCTTCTGCCCAAGGCCAGAGAGACTTGGCACCCCGCAAAGAGGAGAACAGGAATAACTGAAACTTTTCTGCAACCGGTTAATCTTTCATGCCTCGTTGCCTCTTCCCAAACCTGGCCGTTCTGTCGTGATTTACGGAACCCAGCCAGCATTTGCTCCGTAAGAGGATTAAATTTTCAGATCAGAAGAACAAGCTTCCAGTCATCAAATGATTCCCTAGATAGTTTCCTCTGCCAGTACACATTCAGGGACTCATGTCTGTGCATGAGCAGCTGAGAGGGGAGATCTGGGCTCTTCTGAACATAGTTTGCTATTAGGCATATTGTATTTAGGGAGGATTTTGCTCCTTCTGATCTCTACGGTACATTTGTCATGCACGCAACTGATGTTTACTCCCCTCACATGCTACGGAGGCATCCCTCCTGCTGCCCGTCTCTAAGAGTAGGAGAAAGGACCTACCTGTAACTGTTGGTCTCTGAATGTCCCCACCTCCCCATATGAGCTGGCTTCCTGTGGGTGTCCGTGCAAAGGAAACTGGTGATTAAAGTCTGCACAAGCCTTTATAAATT